AATAAATGCTTTGCTTAAGAACACAACGGCTTTCTACCTGTCCCCAGCGACCCGTTTCAGGTAAAACGGCCTCAGGGTAGCAAACGCAGCTTCCAGTCCGGGTCAGAAAGTGGCCACTTATGACCAGAGTAATGTCCCCTGTTGCCGCATCACAATTAAATTGCAATTACTGTGCTCGTCTGGCTGAATGAAAAGCAGACTGAGGGTCAGCTTAGTGTGTATCAAGCATATGGGAATACAGGGATGTGTGAATGTCGTGGATTAAAATGGTAATCCGGGGTGTCACGTGACTGAGCGGTATGGTGACACAGCACACCTGGGCGGGCGGCCGCACAGGTCACACACAAACGCTCCCGTCAGGAAAGCCCTAGACTCAGAGCATTTCAGTAGGAAAGCTAATTTTGGACAATGCAGCCCCGATGTTTGTGCTTTGCGACCACTATTTCTGATTTCACATTTACACTATTTAAAAACAATGAGAGATCAACAATTAAAATATAACACTTTCTTAATGCATGTAGAAAATATAGAAATATACAAGCGGCCCCTCTGATTACCAACGACCTCTGAAAACAATGTTTCTCCATTTCTGTTGGTAAGAGAATCTCTATCAAAACCAGATGAACAGATCAGGACTGTTGGGCTCCAAAACACACACACACACACACACACACACGACCAAGCAGTCTCTGCTAGAGGCAGGACCACAGTTGTCTGGGTTTTTCCAAAGATGCGCTGATCCGTTCCGGGAGAATAACAAATAAAAAAGCCGATTCAGGCTGGGGAATATATAAATAGATCAGTTGACTCCACAGCAGCAGAGGGATGAACCTGCGTGGAATAAGGGATGAGCTGCTGTGGCCAGCGGCCGTGCGGAGCCGATCCGACCGAAGCTGCCTCCGGCTGCGAGCCTCCGTCTGCGAGCCTCCGTCAGCACCGCGTGCAGGCTGACAGGCAGAGACGCAGGGACAGAGCCGGTTCAGAGCAAAGCCCCGGCGGTCCAAATGAACCCAGAGCCACGAGCGGCGTCAGTTGAGAGAGTGAACGGCATGCGAGCTGACCTGTTTCTTCATGATCATATTGTTGCCAGCGAAAAAAAAAAAAATGAAGGAATTTACACCAGTGCAGAAAAAATGTAATTTACATATTTGTTGAATCGCTGTATAAAAAGCAGTTTAATAAATATAGGCAGTGCGACAGTAAGAGTAGCACGGAAAGATGCGCTTAACCTTTGAGGCAAATGGAGCTCTGAGAATGGGAGTAAACAAAGGCAAGGTGGTGAGCTGCATGCTGGGGCAGCGGCCGCCGCCGCGAAGGCGCAGCGCCGCACACGCACCGCATTTTAAACTGCGTCTGTGAATAAAGGCGGGTGTTCAGTCAAAAGCTTGAAAACCTCAGCATCTGGCCAGACCTGAAAGCCACCCTCCCCCTGACCCGCGCGCTCAATCCGAGCTGCAACAATAAAGCCTAATGAAACGACCATCGTTAGCCGCCCCCCCCACCCCCACCCCACCACCACATATCTCAGTAAAACGCCTAATCTACTTACACGCAATCGCCACATCCATGTTCCCCCCCCTCGTCGCTCCAGTAATCACATGTCTAGGGGTGAGCACCGTAGACAATGGGGGCTGGGGCTGATCGTCTGAGAGGCGAGATGATCGCAGAGCAGGCAGCAGATGGTCCCAGGCAGAAGCTCGCTAATGAACGCGGCTTTGAGCGCGGCCATGTGCCGAACACGCCCCGCGCTCCTGATGTCGGAATACGATACAAGCCCAGGAAAATAAGCACACAGCTCCGCTTATGTTTATCCAGGCTGCCGCCGCTCTATTGGCCGGCCGACGCGGCAAGGCCGGCCAATCGTGGCGGCGCACTGTCACATGGGGGTGGAGCTAGAGGAGGATGGGGGATTGGGGGTGGGGTGGGGGGTTTGGAGGTAGGCAGGCAGCCTAAAAGCACTACTAGATCACTGTCACTGAGCCAGGACGTGGAGAGGCAGCCCGTGCTTGTGTGGAAGGCCGGCAGCCGGCTTCCGGGAGAGACAGGCAGGGCAGCCCCATCGGGCGCGAGAGCGGCTCCCCAACTGCCGTCTCCGAGGCAGTGGAGCGGTGATTAGGATGCGGTATCCATGGAGACCAGATTAAGTGCTGCCCGGCAGATTTGTGGGAGAGAGTGGCAGCAGCGGTGAGCAAATGCTCTTTTGCTTTTCTCCGCGGCGCATCGTAAAATGGGCCGAGCTGCACTCTCGCGCTCACATGCGGAGATGGGCTGAACAGAAGGCTCACGGGGTCAGAGGACCGGTGGCGCTAACAGCCGGTCAACACGGCCCCTGGTACGAGTGGTAAGTGGGATGTTTATACCTGAAAGGCCCACTGTGGTAACTACAGCTTAAATGAAGTCTGCTTGACTAATGTTCATTCCCCCTCCCTCTGCCCCCAGTCAAATTCTCTCACACTTCATTTCTGAAATGATTATTCTGATCTCTATTATTAGTATCACTTCTGTTCTAGCAATTTCCCAACAGGATCCCATAAACATAAATGCTGAGTGTGGAAAACCGGTCAGTGACAGATGACAGGATGAACCCGCCCACTGGGGCCCCATAGGGGCCCCATTTCCCCTCTCACCTTATGCCTTACACTGCGGTGTAGAGCAGGCATTTACATTAATCAATTTCATAAAGTGTACCTCAGAGGTCAGCCTCTGAAGCAAACAGGTCTATGACTCAAAGACCAAATCCTGTCTAGTGAAATATGATTGGAGGCTGATTTATTCATTTCTGATGCTGAACTATGAAAGGGCCACTTTCATATCTACAGATATTACATTTATTAGTTTGTTTTCCGTACCTTACAGTCACATTCACTGGTGTCTCATGACGTTTATATCCCATGAGATTTTAATAAGAGAAAATTGCGACCTATCAGAGAATAAACCATCCCCCCCCCCCCCTTGCAGTCACTGAGCATGACTACTTCCAAAATATCCAGGCCTGAAATGGGAATTATCTTATGATTAAGAATCGAACAGGAAAGAGCCCAGCACCCAAGCCAAGCTGCAATAACGATCTTAACATAACACATAAAAAATCTGCCCATTCAGCCAAATGTAGCTCACTGCCATGAGATCTTGGTGTCTGCCAAGGGCCATTACCCAGAATCCACGTCACTGCAGAAGAGCTGCCTTCCACTGTCCACTCCGGAGCGTGACAGTAGCTGTTAAGGGGTGGAAATGGAACGGCCATAATTACGGCTTTCCAGATGGCAGGGGACAGGAGCCAAGGCAGGGTGAGACCTCGCCAGGGACGAGAGACAGGTGGAGCTAGTCCGAAATATTAAACAGTGCCACCGTATTTGGAACTGCAGAGTCTTGGGGGATGACAAAGGCACCTGGGACATATTTCAGCACAGAGGACGACAAGGGCTCACACGTGCTTATTTGTCCAAGGTCGAAATGCCCGGCTTGCAATTTGAGAAAACACCTCAGTCTGCAAGCTGTAAGAAAAAAGGCATTGCAGGCAGGTGTATGCAGGCGGGGAGCACTTCTGAAAAGTATCATAACCCACATGCCCTGCCCCCCACTCCCCAGAGAAGGCAGGTCATCCACACCGGCCTCCACACCCCTCCACTCCCCCATAAAATGTCATTTGACTCCATCCCTCTTTGCAATTTCATCCAGCTGTCTCCAGGCCAGGACCTACCCATCATTCTGTGGACATATGGGCATTCCCTCCAGCTTCCAGGAGGTCCAGGCTCTCAACAACAAATTCACCAGCAGCCCCACAACCCCGCACCGTGAGACATGCACACGAGGTCCGCAGTGACCGACCCAGATCTCCATCTGTCCGAGATCACCTAGACAAAACAGTGCGGACACCTCCATCCATCTCCTTCCAGACAGCCTGCAAAGCCTTAGCAAGACTGTGACTTTTAAAGGTTCATTAGATGATAAATTGTTTACCGCATGTTGCAGCTGACTCTATGAAACCCTGTGCTGAGCAAGACAGGAGGAACCGATCTTCTGCAGAATCCATTTAATTATCTGTCTTAGAGTAAAAACAGCTGAAATGGCTGAAATAGCCCCCCCCCCACCCAACAGAGGGTACAGCATCACCACAAGACGTGGAAGCATTTCAGCGAATTCATACACACCCCATTCCATTCACGTGGAACACAGCGCCGTTAACACCATATGTAGGCCAACTGTATGGATCTTAGCAGGGTTGTCAGGTGTGACACGCAAGAGCCAGGGAGTCACCAGAGCACACAGGGTGGTTAGAGACCCCACCCAGTCAGCAGTCATGTTCAACAACACTCCCAGTATACATCTTTAAAAGTGTATACTTTGTACTTATCACTGGGACATGGGATGGGCTTACTGATAGGAAAGCTTGGTTACACCCGTGAGGATTCAGAACTGCCACACTGAGGCCCAACAGCCGGTCCCAAAAGCGGACTGGAAAACATCCTAATTCTTATTGCCTTCCAGTCAGCCTCACACTCGGACAGCAAGAGGCCACTGTGCTTCTGGGCTTTTCCCGCCAACAGGGGCCGGCGTGTTCAGAGAGTAGCAGAGACATGGATTGCGAAACACGATTAAGCCGACACCACTGCTCGACACCGAGACAACCTTTAATCTGTCATCTCTCTTCACCACAAGCTATAAATAAAGATACATACCAAAAACAAAACTGGGGTTACAGTTTGCTGAATGAGCTCCTGTTCCGATTAATGTCACCCTCAAGCTATTTTTTCCACAGTCCTACGTAACAACAGAGCACACGCAGCACGTCTATAATCCGGATTTCACCTGGTTTACTGTTAAGATGAGGCTCCCAAGACTGACGTATGCTAATTAAATATTAGCTTTCCGCAACCTCACTCTTTCCTCATCGGTTTAAGTACCACCCCTCGACCACTAATAACAGGGAAAATGATCCCGACTGATATTATTGGTCGGCCAAAAGCACCAATCAGGCACAGGCACTTCTGCCTGCTTACCTTGTTGAAGTCCTCAGAAGTTGCTCTCATCTCCTTCCAGGTCTTGTTGAGCAGCTGAATGCAGATGCAGAAGAATTCCTCAAAGGCGCGGTCATGGGTGAAGAACATGGGATGGAAGTCGCGGCAATTCTCGCTGGCTATGGTCAGAGGGGGAACATGGGAAAAGGCGTCAGACTCACGCAGCTGTAACACAGTTTGTCAGCCGAGTGGAAACGCCTTCCGTAGAGTGGCCTTTAAACGTTAGTGAGCGTTAGCCCAGCTCCGCACAGTCAGCTGTGAACCTGACACAGCTTTAATTATCCTTCTGCTGCAGGCATCTCTCTCCTAGCCACGTACCACTTAACGCACTCCAGTGTTTCTGACGGTGATGTTTTCTCCCCCAAAACACGGTCGTTTTTGATTATTACATTACATGGTGCATTAAGCGTCCGCTTACAACAGGAAGAGCGGATGGATGTGCAAGCATCACCGTTAAATGGAAAAGGCACGGACGTGACGTCCGGAAATCTGATGCTGCCCACTGCCAGCATCGCATTCTGGCATCTACAGAAACGCGCAAATGTGCAGGTGAAGGTTCATCCGGTGCCTCTGCCCCCCGCAAGCTCATGCTCTCGCCGTGGCAGGACACATTCTAAAATAAGCATTTACCTGAAGGCCCGCGAGACAGGGGCAGTCTGGAGACAGCAGGGCAAACGCCTTATTCGACACATTTGCTGCATTAGCAAATCACCAATGTTTGTTATCAAATATATTTTTATAGGCTATGAGAAAAGCAACCTGCACAGCGGTTTGAGAAAACTAATGGCATGTCCTGTGAGAGTATTACCTGTTCCCCACTAAAACAAATATTTGACAAGACATCTGATCAATTTTTATAATACGGAACCTAACAGTCATACTAATGGAACACATCTGAACGGGAGGGAATAAAAATCATTTCCACTTGTCCATTTGCTCTTGAGAAAAAAAGATATAACATTTGTCTTAAGGAACAGGGATATAATTCAGGCTTTCATTAATCAAGTATTATAGGCTTGCATTGTTCATCACTGAATTCTTAATTCATGTACTGCATTCTTAATGATGCTGCAAGAGTTACCCCCCACCCCGCCCCCCCCAGTTCCGCAGTCCATGAATACCAGCATAGTTTCTTCAAACTAAAAAAGAAAAAACCTTTGACCGGCTGTCATGGGAATTATTGCACATTACAACACAATCGAGCTCACAAATTTGTTATTTCCCAAAAGTTAACATAGTATTAACCACCTACAAACCTATTATAATTATCACCCATTGCAGGTACGGCAAAGGAAAGGCACAGCTAAAGCGAGTATGATGTCGAAGATTAATTACACACCTGTGTTAAACGTCAAAGAGGATGCCATTACCCACGGAATACAGGTCTCCCTTACTGTTCTGAGGATTGAAAGGAGTCTCGACAAAAAGTCACATAAGGTATTATTTGGGGATATAACAGCTATAGGTACGGACTGCAGCACCAGGGCAAATCCGCCTGGGTCACAATGAAACCAAGCCTGCAAGCAACTGGGCCTTCATTTGGACAGACACGATCAGCCCAGACACCCACTCTACTTGACAGAAATAACAAGTCCAAACCAGCACCATCTGCAGGGAGTACTGGGACCAAGTTGAGAACCGATTCTCGGGTTCTGAGTGCCCGGGGAAGGTTTATTCGGAAGCGTTCGTTGACCAGGTGATACAGGCAGAGCTGGAGGGTGTAAAATAAGGGTTTAATGTACAAAGAAACCAGGGTCTTAGTCTGTAAGAACGTACCCTCACTGGGGCCAACTGTGACACACTGAGCTAGGAGCCAGGGCGGTTTCGTACGCATCACAAACAAATACAGGAGCTTTTATATAGCCTTAGCATACCATCACAACACACAGCATGAATCCTGGACTGATCCAATGTCTAAAAAACACAGAACCAGAGAGGGGATCGTTTTAATGGGAATAAGGGTCGTCCACAAAGCAGATGGAAGCAATACATGTTTAGCAGGCTCAGGACTCCAGCTCCCATCAGCCCCCTCGCTAGGCTGTACTTAATGAACCTGGCCAGGTTTAGCAGGCTCAGGACTCCAGCTCCCATCAGCCCCCTCTCTAGGCTGTAATTAGCCCTGCGTACAATTATCTCTCCCCGAGTCGGAACTCGGATGAAAACGTCATGAAAAACGTCACTTCGGAAACACACCTCTTTTATGACGTTGATGTCGGACAGAGTTTCCCATGACGTCATTTTAACATGGCAGCTTACACAGTCAAAAGTAATTCTATTTTATAAGTATTTCAAAATGTTTATTTTGTTAAATGTATTAATAGTTATAAATGGATCATGCCATATCATGACCGTAAACAGTATCCTAACATGCAATATCAGATTTTCACAAGACTTGTTAGTGTATTTACAAAGTTTGTAGTTTATAGTTTGTAAGTTTGTAAAGAATATCGCTATGAATGTACTAAAATATTTTTAAAAGCTTTTAATGTGGTTTGACTAGTTCGTGTTTCTTGTTTGTATGTCTCTCGGAAAAAAGAAAGAATCTCACTTCAAATCTGCTAAAATATAAAGCAACAACAAACAGCAGCGTGTTCATGGAGCAGCCATGTTTGTTCCGAGATGTGGTAGCTCGAACGGGAGATTGTCGGACGTGATGTCACTCACCTCGCTATTTCCAAGTTCCGAGAGATAATCGAACGCACCATAATGAACCTGGCCAGGTTTAGCAGGCTCGGTACTCCAGCTCCCATCAGCCCCCTCGCTAGGCTGTAATTAATGAACCTGGCCAGGTTTAGCAGGCTCGGGACTCCAGCTCCCA